CCTTGGACCATAGTCGAGTCCGATGGTTGGCATACCTTGGGGGCCGGTGGAACATTACTTGGTCGAGTCATCCGTCTAGAATAAACACGAAGTTCAGTAGGTGGTTCCAAGTTGGTTTCTACCCGAGTCTCACGAGGTTGTGAATTTATAGGTTGTGAAATCCTAGGATTAGTTACGGAAATATGAATTGGTTCCACTGAGCTATTTACAACCGATTTTGGCAAGGATGTTTGTTCCCAAAAACTCATTTCAGAGTCATTCTCCCCCGGAAGAGAGTTTTTGTCAAAAAAAGGTTGTTTTTCAAAAAACGTGACATTCATACTCACATAATACTTCCTAGATTTAGGATCAAAGCATTTATACCCTTTTTGTGTTGGTGAAAAACCTAGAAATATGCATTTATGTGCTCGGGGATCGAGTTTTCCTCTATTTTGGCCGTGTATATGAACAAAAGCAATGCAACCAAAAATTTTAGGTGTTAAATCAGTGAAAGATCTATTTTCAGGAAATATATTCTTTAGAGCTTGCAAAGGAGTAATATAATTAAGAACTTTTGTAGGCATTCGATTTATCAAATAAGACGCTGTTAAGAGTGCTTCATTCCAAAAACGATTAGGAACATTCATAGCAAACAGTAAAGCCCTAGTCACCTCTAATAAATGCCTATTTTTTCTTTCAGCAACTCCATTTTGTTGGGGAGTATCAACGTAAGAACTGTGATGAATAATTCCTTTTTGTTTCAAAAAATCACCTAAGATTGCATTAAAATATTCTCGACCATTATCGGTTCTAAGAACTTGAATATTTGCTTGAAACTGAGTATTGATCAGTGAGTGAAAATTTTTGAAAACACTTGTTGCCTCGGATTTTTCTTTTAGTAAATAAATCCACGTGACTCTAGTGTGATCATCAATGAATGTGATGAACCATCTAGATCCTGAGGCTATTTTTACTTGTGATGGGCCCCAAATATCACTATGCACAAGAGAAAAAGGTTTTGATGGCATATTCTTTAAAGATGGATAAACAGATCTATGATGTTTTGCCAATTCACAAACTTCACACTGAAAAGAAAAACCGTCCTTTTTTTTTGAAAAGATTTGGAAACAAATATTTCAAGTAATTAAAACTAGGATGGCCTAACCTATAATGCCACAACATTATTTCATTCTCACAAGACAAGGTAGTAAAGCATCTCGGTTTCTGAACTTGTTTATCTGAAGGATTGTCCGTGACCAAGTGATAGAGTCCATCAACCTCCTTAGCATTGCCAATCATCTTCCCCGAACAAGGGTCTTGAAATTCAAATCCAACAAATGTTATTGTAGCAATGCATTTGCAATCATGAATAATACGATTAACAGAGATGAGATTGCAAGAGAGCTTTGGGACATGTAGGACATTTAGTAATGTGAGAGATGGAGAAATAATGATAGAGCCTTTTCCAGCTATAGAGGTTAGGGAGCCATCAGCAATTTTTACCTTCAGATTACCAGATAAAGGAAAATAAGATGAGAATATGGAGGAATTACCGGTCATGTGATCTGTTGCCCCTGAATCTATGATCCAAGGGTTTGATTTAGAACCGGCTATGAAAGCTGTAGGATATGTACCTTTCTGGGCTAATGATGAAGAGGCAATATAAGATGATGGGTTAGGAGTGTTGGATATGAAATGAGAACTCATTAGTTGATACAATTGCTCTAGCTGTTCTTTGCTGAAGGCAGACAGTTCTGAGGTAGGTTTCGGCTCTTCAGAAGCATCTTCAGATGAGGCATGGAATCCCTTTGCATTACGAGAATTTCGATTGGCTGAAAAATTCTCGGCTGGCTTCCCGTGTAGCTTCCAACACTTGGCTTTAGTGTGTCCCGGCTTGTTGCAGTGCTCGCAGATTGGCCGATCTCTGTCGTTCCGACGATCGTTGCGACGTGGTGGCTGACCCGAGAACAAGGCAGAAGACTCGGTGGGATTTGGTGAGTGGCCTCCAAGCATGACTGTCCGCCGGCTCTCCTCTCGTCTGACTTCGGAGAAGACTTCTCTTGTGCTTGGTAGTGGTTCACGACCAAGAATGCGCCCTCTGACTTCATCCAATTCCTTGTTAAGGCCGACAAGGAATTCGAAGACGCGTTCTTTTTCCACCATCTTCTGGAATAGAGCCCTGTCCTTAGCACAACTCCATTCGTAGTCGCTGAACATGTCAACCTTTTGCCACAAGGTCTTGAGTTCAGTGTAGTATTGAGTGACAGTTTTTCTCCTTGTTTTAGCCTCCATAACCGAGTTTTTAGTTCAAACCATTGTCCTGCGTTCCCGAGATCAGAATAGGTCTCGTTCACAGCATTCCAAATGTCATGAGCAGTAGGTAGGAAGAGATAAGTTCTCCCTACACTCGGATCCATGGAATTTATGAGCCAAGACATAATCATCGAGTTTTCTGCCTCCCATCTTTCAGATTCTTCATCTTCTTCGACAGGTTTCGTAGTGGTACCTGAGAGATAGCCGAATTTTCCACGGCCACGAATAAACAGTTTCACAGATTGTGACCACTGTAAGAAATTATTTCCATTCAACTTGTGAGAAGTGATGGATATGTTTTGGAAGGATTCAGTGTTTAGGGTGATTGAAGGTGAGCGAGTAGAACTCATAGAGTCGATACCAGAGGTATCATCGTAGGGTTTGGCCATTTTGGCTCTGACACCATAAAGACGGAAAAACTTGTTCCGAATAAATCGTTTTTATTTCTGTTGAATATGACCGACTTAAATAGAGTTTACAATGTAACAACTTTACATAAAAAGATGCATAAAATTAGCAACAGAATAAAAATGATTCTATCTAATTAAAAATGATCCTATCTAATAACTAATAGAATAAAAAACTGATTCTATCTAATTAAAAATGATCCTATCTAATAACTAATATAATAAAAACTGATTCTATCTAATATTTAATTTAGATATTCTCGACAAAAACCTAGACTAATACCATGTAGAAAGTAATGATTTAGGAATAAAGATGAAAATGATACTCTAAATTTATTGATTCATTAGAAGAGAAATACAAGCCTCCTTTAAATAGGCTGAGTAGAAGAGTTTAAATATAACTACAAGTACTCCTAGATAATATATTATCTTATTTAGAAAATAAAAAGATAGAGTTATAGTTAATTTAAACTTGAATCATTTTCGTTTGGCATGACGCGTGGTTAGATGGCGTGCCTCTGAAAAATCGATTTCCAAGATTGTTTGTCCTTTCGACTAACAAAGAAGGGAGAATTGCTGACTTTAGGATAAAGAGCTCTTCTGGGTGGTGTTGGGATATTCATCAGAGGAGGAACTTGGCAGATTGAGAGATGGAGCTGTTGCTTCAATTGTACACGTTTTAGGCAATTTTCAATCCTCGGAGTTCATTGATGATAGTTATGTTTGGTTTGGACAGGGTGATGGTTGTTTCTCGGTGAAATCGTGTACGAGGCTAATGTTGGATCGGTATGAAGTTAACCCTTTATGGTCAAAATATGTGTGGCTTGGATTTCCCCTCCTCGAGTGGAGTCCTTCATGTGGCAGGTGGTTTTACAAAAAGGTGACAGTCAAAGACGAGTTAGTTAAGCATGGTGTATTGGGGAATGAGGATCAATAGTGTCCATTGTGTGGAGGTAATATGGAATATGTTAATCATCTTTTTGTTTCATGTACTGTCTCTTGGGGTCTTTGGACGAGTTTCATGAGGTTGTGGAACATCTCTTTCACTGTCCCCGAAAGCCAGGCTGATCTACTCTTAGCTTGGTTTGGTCCCGAAGTCAGACATATGGACCTTTATCCTTGGAGCTATATTGTGGTCGGTTTGAAAGCAAAAAAAACGAAATTGTTTTTAATAATGGGAATCTCGATCGACTTCAGCTTTTTTCTTGGTAAGATACAGAGTGGCAACATGGTTTTCTTCAAAGGTTCAGAATCATTCGGGTTTTTTTTATTTTAGTGGGCGATCTTACGTTAGCAGATTCCTACCAAAGCTCAATTAAGGTTAATTCTGTTCGTGAAGGTTGGCGTCCTCCTCCGCCAGGTTTTTTTAAAGTTAATGTGGATGGTGCTATGGATAGTTTTTGGCAGAAGGGTAGCATAGGTGGTTTGCTTTGGGACGAGAAGGGTGTCACGCTGGATTCGTTTTCTGAGAAAGTTGGATCGGGTCCTCCAATTTTGGCAGAACTGTTGGCTATTAAGAGGGGTCTACATCTATTTTTGGATTCGGAGTGGGCATCAAGGGGAAGGCTAATTTTAGAATCTGATTGTTTAGTTGTTTTAGATTGGATTAGTAATCCAACTTCTTGTACTCCTTTGTTTAAAACATTGCTATTGTTGTGTTAAATAGGGGGTGGTCATTAGGCATATTAAGAGAGGTGCAAATTACAAGGCAGATGAGCTTGCCAAATTGGGAATTAGTTAGGTTAGACGAGGGGGTATAATGTAGGGAATGGTTAGGAGTTATGTATTGGGTTGTTTTCTTGTTCGGTGGTAGATGATGTATGGTTGTACTTGGTCTTATGTACTTTTGTTGTATGGCTTTTAGTAATAAAATTTACGACACTTTTTTACTCCATCCAATGTCTACTGAGCTACCTTTGTAGCATGGCGGTTATGAAGGAGGTTTTTAACGAGACCATCTTTTCTATAAAAAAAAGATAAGTTATAGTTAATCTAAACTACTAAATTAAATAATTTACTGCAAAATCTCCAATATTCTACATAAAGCATAATAAAAATGATGCATCTTTAACGGTGAAAATTTCAGAATGAACATTAGAATTTTTAACTACTACACCATTTTTCATGAATTAAATACCTCTTCTATAAATTTTTTGCTTTGAATGATTGTTTTAATTATGTGTTGCTAGCGTGCAAATGATTTAACACTGATGCTTTTTGTTTCTTTTTCCCTCTTACAAAAGGATTAATTGTCTAACCCTTAAATTCATTTTGTATATTCCTTGGGAAAAATTTCCACAGTTGAAGCTCTTATGTCCAAAACAACTGGATCAATTATTGAAGCTGCACGAAAAAGGGACCCTCATGAGGTTGAGTTCATACAATCTGTCCAAGAAACTGTTCATGCTTTAGAGAGGGTGATTGCAAAAAAATCCCAGTGAGTTTTCTCAAAGAGTTTAAGTTATATATGATTTGCTCTTCATTATTTGAAGTGAAGAGTCATTCAAATGTACATTGAGTCTCATTTTTTTTTTTGATAGGAATTGAAGGCCTCGTTAAAAATTCCCTTCATGATTAAAAAACTCAAAATGAGTTCCTTTATCAGAGGAAGAAGGAAAAGAATGCCTTATACTTCATTAATAAGAAACATAAGATTACAACAACAATAAAAGACCTTTACAAACAAGCGTTATAACCCAAAATAAAATACCCCTACATTGATTCTCATCTTGCTCCATTTTACTTCAGTTACATCAGCATCATGGAGCGCTTGTTAGAACTGGACCGAATGATTATTTTTCGAGTTCCATGGGTGGATGATAGAGGTGAAACACATGTCAATCGTGGCTTCAGGGTGCACTTTAACCAGGCATTGGGTCCATGTATGGGTGGTATTCGGTTTCATCCAAAAATGAACTTAAGTGTTGCCAAGTTTCTCGGTTTTGAACAGGTACTTTCTGAGCTTTCCATTTCATGTTAATTTACTCATTCTTAACTCAGTTCCATACAGCTTAGTTTTCTCAACCTTTACCTTTAAGTGCATCTTAGGTAACTGTTGCTTATGGAAACTCAATTTGTTGGTTAGGCTTAGGCCAACTCCTGAACATATATCAGCCGAAGATAAATAGAGGCATGAATCTATTTGATTGATAATAAAAGGAACTACTTATTCAGAATGATAGTAATGATAAAATGGGTAATTATAAATTTATTTGGCTTTTAAAAATCTCGTAATAAATAGGGATTTTTTTTATTTCCCCTGTTTGCAGACATTAAAGAATGCTTTATCACCTTACAAACTAGGAGGGGCAGCAGGTGGAAGTGATTTTGATCCCAAGGGAAAAGTGATAATGAGGCGAGGTCCTTTATCATATTTTTATTAGTCTCTTTAATAAGAACCTTCTTAGAAACACTGGCAATTCCTCTTACAGTTGTTTATGAAACCCACGCTGGCAGATCATGCGGTTTTGTCAAAGTTTCATTAATGAGATATATCGTTATTTTGGTACGGACAAGGTGAGTGAGTCCGATCCTGCTCTTATCTTAAATTTGCTTGTAAGTTGTAATAATGTGTAGGTCTGCATATCTGATTATCCATTTGTATATTTTCAGGACCTTCCATAAGAGGAAATGGGATTTGCTATTCGAGAAATGGGATACCTATTTGGACAATACAGACTTCTAGCTGGTAATTTTCAGGTATTTTGAACACATAAACTTCCATTTTAGTCTTCTTCAGTTCTTATGATGGGCTAATAAACTTCATATGATTCTGGAAATATTCAGTTCGTGCTGTATGTTATAGTGGTTGCAGCCTAATGTCATTGAATGATTTCCTTTATATATTTAGTTTGATGAGTTGTTAGAGCAATGGAAGCTTTAGGTTATTTAATGAGAATTCAATGTTGAATAAATCCGTGAAGTGTTCTTTATGTCTTTATTTAATTCCTTACTTATGCAGGGAAGTTTTACAGGGCCAAGGATATTTTGGTCAGGCTCTAGTCTTCGAACTGAAGCAACTGCTTATGGGCTGGTAACTAATTTCTCATCTCTGTCTCTGCTCAATTAATAATCAATACTATTTAAGTATAGATAGGTAGTTAAATATCAGGGTGAATGCGTGGATACCTCACTTTGCACCTTTTTACACACGAAAGATTCTTATGCTACTTCATTGTTGCAATACATCTTTAAGATAGGTGCTGTGTTTTCCATGTACATATCTCATTCTAATAGCTTGGAACTTGATTAAGTGACATGTTTCTGCAGGTTTTCTTTGCCCGACTCATTCTTGCGGAGTTGAATAAAGATATCAAAGCACTGAGGCTGCTTTTGATGCTTATTATTAGCCATACTCAATGAACAAACTTAAAAAGAAGGTTGTTATCATTTACTAAATAGTTTACAACCTTTATAGAGTAGTCTAAGTGTAAATAAGGGAACAATCCCTAAAAATCAGTAACTCCTTAGAATTAGAGACTAAGATTAGATCCTACTATACAAGGAAACTCCTAGGAATAAGGTAAGTAATCTATCCTTAATTTTAGGAATTCCAACACTCCCCCTCAAGATGGAGTGTAGATATTTATCAAACCCAACTTGCCAATAATTTCTTTAAACATGTTTCTGCTCAAGCTTTTGGTCAACAAGTCTGCAACTTGTTGTCTCGTAGGTATGTAGGTAACACAAATCTCTCTCGAGTTAATTTTTTCTTTGATGAAGTGGATCAATTTCCACATGTTTGGTGCGATCATGATGAACAGGATTATGTGCTATGCTGACAGCTGCCTGGTTGTCACAATGCATTTTTATAGGTCTTGTATAGGACACTTTTAGTTCTCCCAGTAGTTGTTGTATCTAGATTCCTTTGCATATACCATGAGATAGTGCTCGATACTCTACCTCTGCACTGCTGCGTGCTACAACAGACTGTTTTTTACTTCTCCATGTTACGAGATTACCCCAAACGTAGCTATAGTAACTACTTGTAGAACGTCTGTCGTTAACAGCACCTGCCCAGTTTGCATCAGTATATACTTCTACACTTCGGTTGACAGTTTTCTTGAAGTGCAGGCCTTTACCCGGAGTCCCCTTGAGATACCTTAATATCTTGTACGCAGCTTCCAGATGTTTCTCCCTTGGAGCGTGCATGAACTGGCTGATAACACTCACATCGAAAGCTATGTCTGGACGAGTGTGAGATAGGTAGATAAGTCTCCCTACTAGTCGTTGATATCTCCCCTTATCGATATCTTCTCCATCCTGATCAGTCCCTAATTTAAGATTGAATTCCATAGGAGTTTCAGCTGGTTTGCAGCCCATCAAACCAACTTCTAAAAGCAGATCGAGAACATGCTTTCTTTGGGAGATGGAAATACCTGCCTTAGACCTTGCTACCTCCATTCCAAGAAAGTATCTAAGATTCCCCAAGTCCTTAAGTTTGAATTCAGTACTTAGAAACTCTTTTAGGATTTTAATTTCGCTTGAATCATCCTCTGTTAATTTTATATCGTCCTCATAGAAAATGAGAATGCAACATTTTTCACTTTTCGAGTGTTTGTAGAACATGGTGTGGTCAGTCTGTCCTTGAATATAGTTTCTACTAGTCATAGCTTTGGCAAATCGGTTGAACCCGCCCTTGGAGATTGCTTTAGCCCATATAAGGACTTCTTAGCTTATACACTTAGTCCTTGTTCTCTTCAAACCCGGGTGGGAAGTCCATGTACAATTCCTCATTTATTCCCCATTGAGGAAAGCGTTTTTTACGTCCAATTGGGTTAAAGGTCAATCCAAGTTGACAACAAGGGATAGGATAACTCGAATGGTGTTTAGCTTGGCAACTGGTGCAAACGTCTCGTCGTAGTCAAGGCCATAGGTTTGAGTAAAGCTCTTAGCCACAAGCCGAGCCTTGTATCAGTCGATACAATCATCGGGTTTAAATTTTGTAGTGAAGACCCACTTGCATCCTACAATCTTCTTACCACTTGGTAAATCCGACACTTCCCACATTTCATTGTCTTTGAGAGCCTTTATTTCTTCCATCACAGCTTGCCTCCACTCGGTTGATTTAAGAGCTTCTTCTATGTTTTTCAGGACTTCTACAGTATCAATATTATACACAAAGGCTTTATAAGACTTAGATAAGTTTCCATAGGACACAAACCAAGAAATAGGGTGTTGAGTGTAGCTCCTTGTTCCCTATCGAACAACAATTGGAAGATAGATGGATGGTGATGGAGGTGAGACTTCTGTTTCAGAACAATCCTCGGTTGGGGATGAAATTGGCACTGCTGTTTCAGTTTCAGGGGGGATGAAATTGGCACTGCTGTTTCAATTTCAGGGGGATGAAATTGGCACTACTGTTTCAGTTTCAGGGGGATGAAATTGGCACTGCTGTTTCAGTTTCAGGAGGATGAAGTCGTCGAGAGTATACCTGAAGTTCTGGAGCCTATTCTTGCTACCTTCCTGGATCATGCTGCTGTTGTTCTTCGGTGGTGTGATTGATTCGCTAATTTCTTGTTGTTGCACATGAGAAATAGTCCCTAAATATGGAATTACAATAGCTGTTGGGTTGTTAGGTTTGTTTGTGATAGTAGAGGTAGGATCATGAGGTATAATGAGAAGGGTATTAAGGGTCTCATCTTCATTGAGTCTCCCTTTGAAGATGAGATGCTGCAAAGTATGTCTCATACTAAAAAAATGTGACATCTTGAGAGACAAACATTCAGTGTAAGGTTGGTGAGTAACACTTATAGCCTTTTTATGTGGGGAATAGCCAATGAAGACACCTGTGTGGGCTCGAGGATCAAGTTTGGATTGATTGGGTTGATGATTGTGGACAAATGTTTTGCAACCGAATATTTTTGTTGGTAGGTTTGGAACACGAAATAAGGGAAAGACCTTTTGAAGTATATGTAGAGGTGTTTGAAAATTTAGTACCTTTGATGATAGACGGTTTATGAGGTAGCAAGTAGTGAGGACAACCTCTTCCCACAAGTATTTTGGGACACCCATGGTGAAAATTAGGGCTCGAGCCACAGCAAGGAGATGTCGGTTTTTTCTTTCGGATATCCCGTTTTGTTGAGGTGTGTCGGGGTAAGAACTTTGATGCATGATGCCTTGGTCAGAAAGGTAAGGGCTTAGGAAAGAGTTGAAATATTCTCTAACATTGTCAATTCGGAGTTTATGTATGGTATAATTAAATTAGGTTCGAACCATTGAGTGAAAGTTTTGGAAGATTTTGGGTGTTTCAGATTTTTCTTTGAAGAGGTATACCCAACAAACCCTAGTGTGGTCATTAATGAAAGTTATAAACCATCTAGCCCCCGTAACATTCTTTACACGGTCGAATCCTCATAGATCACTGTGTATTAACGAGAAAGGTTGAGACTGGACATAAGGATTTAACGGGTATGGTACACGGGTGTGTTTGGGTAATTGGCAAATTTTACATTTCAAGGAGTTCACACTTTATTGCAAAATAACAAAGGAAGCTGTTTCTTCAAATACAAAAAGTTTGAATGTCTTAGTCTACGATGCCATAACATAATTGTATCCTCTTTTGAAGTAGATAGAGCCAATCCTTCTTGTGTGCTGTCTTTATTCCAAACATAGAGTTCATCATAAACTTTAGCAGTGCCAATCATCCTCCCCGATTTTTGTTCCTGTACCACACAACCAATTGTAGAAAATTCAGCAAGAACATTTTCATCATTGGTAAGTTTACTGATTAATAGTAAATTATAGGACAATTTTGGGACATGTAGGACTTAATAGGGAGAAATTTTATACTAATTTTACTCTTCCAATTCCAACCACCAGTGAGTAGGATCCATCAGCTATGCGGATTCGGGATTGGTCATGACAAGGTTTATAAGTGTGAAACAAAGTGGGGTTACCTGTCATGTGATAAGAGGCACCCAAATCGAGTATCCGGGAGGATTTGTTAGGTTCAAGGAATATGTTGAGGGCAGTACCTTGGGTGGCTAGAGAACCACTAGCCGTAGAAGTACCAAGCAACTTATGGAGTGTCTCAAGTTGGGTTTTGGTTAGGCGAACGTCGAGAGCATCATCAGCAGCAGTGGAGGTATTTGTAATACCCCAAATATCAGGTTAGTGACTATATTTAAAAAAGATTTAAAATTTTGGAGGATTAAATTGATTAAAAGGGTAAAGTATAATAAATGGTTTAGAAATTGTGTTTGAGACCAATTAGTAAAAATGAAAGAATGAAAGAGCATTTTGGTCCTTTAGAGGGAAATGGATTTAAAATTTATTATATTAGGGAGAAAAAGGGAGAAAAAGGGGAAAAGTTGAGAAAAAAGCTAAGTTCTCTTCTTCTTCTCTTTGCTCGTCTCGTGCTCTCCTCCATAGCCAAAGGTAAGACTTCATCTAGCTAGTTTTTCCTTTCGTCTTTGGTTTGTTCTTGAAACCTTAAGTGATGTGGAAGCTTAAGGAAGGTTTAAAGAGGATTAAAACTAAGAGATAGATGATTTATTTGAGAATGAAGAAAATGGGTTTTTGAGGGATATGTTGAAATATGAGTTTTTATTGAGGATTACAAGTAAATTTGACTTGTCAAAGAAGTAAATAAGAGATTAGAAGCATTGTATGTGATTAAAAACATCTATGAAAAAGTAGTGTGATTCTTGGTTTGGAGTGTTCTTTAGAGAATTTGGATGTTATAGGAAGATTAATGAAAGAAAGTTAGTAGGGTTAAGTAATGATGAGTTTAATAGTATTGTTGGAGTAAAATTAAGAAATTTAAACGAAATTTGGGTAAAAATCGAGCTAAAAAATGGAAATCTTGGTAAGGGGGTACTGGAAGAACATATTGATACTATAGGTTTAAATTTGGGGAAATAAGATGAACATTATCGGTACTGATGCAATTAGTATCGATATTGTTGTGGGTATCGATACTAATAGGAAGGTATCAATACCATGGATTCCAGAATGCAGAAATGGTATCGATACTGAAATGAGTATTGGTACCATAGTATAGAAATATCGATTCCATAGTAGAGGTACCGATACTATTGAGTTTGGAAATTTTTGATAGGGTGAATTTTTAATAGAAATTGAATATAATAGTACTTTTGAGTATTATTAAAGTATAAATGTTAGAGAATATACTAACATTTGTATATTTGTATGGTATGTGTAATAATGGATGCTTATGTAGATCGTAATCAAGCTCCAGAGTCAAGCAAACAAAAAGGCAAAGATAAAGTTGTCGAGTAGTCGGACATCATTACAGCATACTAGTGAGGCATATCAGGTGAGCGCATTTATTATGTACATTAAGAGTTATAGATGCATGTGGTAAAATGCATATGTTGTATTGTTATATCAGTATTATGTGTACCATCGGCACCAAGTGTGCAACTCACGGAATTCATAATAAGTCTATGAACGACTGTATTGGCACTAAGTGTGCAACTCACGGAATTCATAATAAGTTTATGAACGACCGTATCCGCACTAAGAGTGCAACCCACGGAATTCATAATAAGTTTATGAACGATTGTATCGGCACTAAGTGTGCAACACACGGAATTCATAATAAGTTTATGAACGACCGTATTGGCACTACGTGTGCACCCCAAAGAACTTATAATGATTTGAAAACAATAAATTCGAATTTGATAGTTATGATATAGTGACACATCGATTTCACCTCATTAGTGTTATTGCCTCACTAAGTAAATACTTAACGTGTGTTTATTTCACGCGTAGTTTTAGCGAGAAGAGTAAGGAGTGCATCTGACATTTGCCATTCAAGGGTCGCCTCATCATTAACTGTATGACAACTATGTCCACTTTTAATGTTGTTAGCTGGCTTGTAATAGATTTATTATAATGCTCTGAAAAGTATTTTGAACTATGATGATGTTAATTTTTTTTAAAGATGTTCGAACTTCTAAGATCTATTTACATATTATAAGTAAATGTTTGTTTTAATTTATTAACTCAAAAACGTTTTATGATTGGAAACAAAAAAAAATACTGGTTTTCTTCAAAGTGAAAAGTTTTAAAAGTGATGTAACATCTATAACCTGTGTACGGAAATATATACAGGAAATTGGGTGTTACAGTATTAGTGGACATTATTGTAGTCTCATTCTCCTTTTGGTTTTTTCCAGTATAGCCATGGAGTTTGAAGCATTTTTCCTTGGTATGTCCTACACGATTGCAGTACCTACACCATGGCCTGGTTGAGCTCGAATCATTTCCAGCATGGGACCTTTGTGGTTGTGGGCCTCTGGAGATAAGGGCTGAGTTTTCAGTGTGACGGTAACCAGCAGTTGTCACAGGTTTAGGTTCATTTGAATCACTTATCATGACAAGTCGACGCTTCTCAATGGTTGGCAGGGGGTTCTACCCAGAATTCGACCACAGACCTCATCTAGCTCTCGGTTCAATCCTTCTAGAAACTCATAGAGACATTCATTGTTGAGGTGAGTCATAAACTTGGTGTGTTCCACGCCTTCTCCCCAGTCTGCCTCATACTGCCACAAAATTTTCAGATTATTGTAGTAGTGAGTTGCTTTAAGTGTTCCTTGTCGGATGTCCTTCAACTTCAGTTTGATCTCAAATACTTGGGAGGCATTTCCAAGATCCGAGTAGTTTTCTTTGATTGCATCCCACATATCTCTTGCAGTTTTGAAGAAGAGGTAGGTGCGACTAATGTGACCTTCCATTGAATTAATTAACCAAGCCATTACAATTGAGTTGTTGAGTTCCCAAGTGCCATAAGTTGGGTCTGTTGTGGCTGGTCGTGGGATGTCTCCATTGATATATCCTAGTTTGTCACGACCACGAATCACCATAATGGCCGATTGGGACCACTGCAGGAAATTTTTCCCATCTAGTCGATGGTTAGTGATCATAAGAGAGGAATTAAGGTCCCCTTGAGGGGTTCCTTGATTGATATTTGGAATCATTTGTGAGGTTTGAGTCTCGGATGAAGTTTCGATTGTCACCCATGGGAAGGAATAAAACAGGAGGCAAGAGAGATTAAAGAGGAGGGGCGTTTGAGACGAGAGATTAGAGATGACAGGATCAAAAATCCTTAAAGCTCTTATGCCACGAACAAACTTAAGAAAAAAGGTTGTTATCATTTACTAAATAATTTACAGCCTTTATAGAGTAGTCTAAGTGTAAATAAGGGAACAATCCCTAAAAATCAGTAACTCCCTAAGAATTAGAGACTAAGATTAGATTCTACTGTACAAGAAAACTCCTAGGATAGGTAAGTAATCTATCCTTAATTTTAGGAATTCCGACACTCAAAAAGCATTGTTGTCTGTCACAGTTCTTAGTAGAGTTTTCCAAAATTTGTGCAAATGGGAAAAAATGTGGAATTTTCTCTAGTGAATAACTCATAGTCCATTTTTTCGTGTTATTTTCAAGACCTGGTGGTGGCTTGATATACCAATAAGTAGATTTATTGCAAATGTTTAAGTCGACTATTGCTAGTTGTTTCACTCAATTGTTGACATTGATATTTTCCTCTTGAATCTTTCTTCAGATGTGTTGTAAGTGGTTTTGGAAAGATCGCAATGCATGTTCTGGAAAAGCTTGTTGCTGTTGGTGCTCTTCCCATTACAGTATCGGGTAATTTTGTCCATTCCGCATTGTGTAGATTGGAATTCATTTCGTATAATCTTTCTGTGCACTAATTACATGAGGATTGTCACATAATTCCTTTGGTTTCATTATCGTTCTAGCTTAAAAGATATAGTCACAGTGAAGATATCCTTATTTTAAAGAAAAATGCTCATAATGAGGCCAAATGAGCTCTTGCTGTAAACACATTGTTTTTTCCTTTTGCCTTTTTCTGGACAGTTGCTGTTGAGCCACGTATTTCTTCTTACTTGGTACACAAAATATCTTATCCATTTTGTTTTCCTTCAGAAAAGTGCCTTCGCAATTGTATTCAAGTTCATTTTTCACGGCCTCAATTTTCTTATTGCCAAGAAGTTCATTTTTACGTTACTTGATATCTTGCTCAACACTTGCTTTATTTAAACCCTTCAAAATTAATTTAGGAAAATGGTCCTGACAGTAAGCATACATTTTTTTTTTTGCTTTTTCACCATTTTAAATGAAACTTGAAAATGCTATTATTTGGAAATTAAATAGATGTGTAAAATAGCCTCACTGCAAGCAAATAAAGTTGGTCGCACATTTAGCTTAGTAAAGATCAGCATATAAGGTAGGTTGAAACAGCCGTCCATCTTTTAAACACTTGCCCATGCCTGATATGTGGCACAGATTCGAAGGGATATTTGATTGATGAGGATGGGTTTGATTATATGAAAATATCGTTTTTGAGGGATCTCAAAGCTCAACAAAGAGTTTGAGGTGTTTTCTTCACTGCCATTTCCATACATAAAATGTAAATTTCATTTCTTTTGGTGATTCTTGAGAGTTGCTATTTTACATTTTGAGTATGCAGAGATTATTCAAAGACTTATGCTCGGTCGAAGTACTATGATGAAGCAAAACCTTGGAATGAAAGGTGTGATGTCGCAATTCCCTGTGTTTCTCAAAATGAAATCGACCAGACCGATGACAAGAATTTCGTCAGTCCAGGTTGTCGTATACTTGTAGAAGGTAGTGGTCTGTAATATGTATTGAGAAGAATTTGTATATCTTTCTATCAGGAAGAATTATAATGATATTAGCTAATAGCTGCGTGGTATTGTGGTCTTCCTAGGCTCAAATATGCCTTACACTCCTGAAGCAGTTGATATATTGAAGCAGGCTAATGTTATCATTGCTCCTGCCATGGCTGCTGGTGCCGGAGGGGTGTGACCTTTTACTTCTTCCATCACCTTGATGAAATTAATTTTTATTATCTCAGTTTAATTATGAGTACTTGTGGGATAGCCAAATATTTTGTAGATGGATGTTAAAGCTTCCGTTTGAATGTCTTCATTCATCACATTGGAATGAATTTTAATTCATGTTATTTACAATAGTACTTTTTATTTTCTGATTCAATGACACTTAATTTCAGGTTGTTGCAGGAGAAATTGAATTAAATCATGAATGTAATAATGTAATGCATTGGTCTCCAGAGGACTTCGAATCTAAATTGCAGGTAAGATTTAGTTGCATTTGTTGAAAAGTGCGTGTGGAATTGGACTTTTCTTTAGCTACATTTCCCCTTATTTGCTCAAGTAAAATCCATTTATTTGCGTTTCTTAAGGTGAGTTTACCATGTAATAGATCTGTCCGAATGTCGAAATAGTCAAATCTTGATAACTATATGTGTTCAACTTATAATACCTTTTGTCATGATTGAAAGTATTGAAATTGTAAACATAGTGTCGGTATGATACCAGCGAATTTGAGTTGGCTTCTTTTGGTTTTTCAATCATAACTTGAGATTTCTTCCTTCTTTAACTCGACAATTAGCTTTATATCTAGTTATGACCAAATTTGGTGAAGATCCTTTTCTCTGCAACGTGCAGGAAGCAATGAAACAGACATTCAATAGAGCACTCAAAGCAGCAAATGATTTCGGTTATCAGAAAGAAAGTCCCGAGTAAGTTTTTTTCTTCGGTGTTAGCACTAACACTACCATCATAGTAGTAAGAAAGCGAGGCTGAGGCCTTATTTGCTCTTTAATCTTTTCCTTTGGCGAATGGTACATGAATCAAAACACTAATTTTTACATGCTGCTTATCTTGTATTACTAGATTCTTTCACCAAAATGTAGTCCGACCGTTCTTACTAAATTTAAATTCAGTTCTACAATACATATTATACAGTTGTGCTCTGGACCAGAACAATTCTATTGCCCTTCTATTTAGTGTGGCTATTCGGGGATCATCTTTATACTCTCCTAATGATCTTGGCAGGCTTTGGAAAGTATAATTAGCTGGAAACACATTGCTTGAGAACCTAAGATCTAGTAAAATATGTTGTTCAGACTCGGGTGCAAGTGTCCATGTCGGTACATCTGGCACGGTTACGTGCCTCTCTCTTTTAGTTTTTTATGTATTCAGAGTATTAGAGGGTCATATCCTATACTCATGTCCTAATAACATCTAACATGTGTACTTGAAGAGTCGGACCGAGATAGGTAGTAGCTGATATTATGTTCTTCCGAACTCCAAGATATCTATTGTTTACTCTCTTTCTTTGTTATCGTTAACAGGGCGTTGCTACACGGAGCAGTCATCTCCGCCCTTCTGGCCATTGCTCAAGCCATGACTGATCAAGGATGTGTATAGAAAAAGAAAGCTAATTTGTTGTTTATCACTACCAATGTCCACCATTTGGAGACTCAGTCATTCCATAGCAGGAAAACTGCAGAGCTCATCAACATCTTCGTATCGTCATTGGAATCCTTACCGGATAAAAAGAAAGATCTAGAGACATGACAAATATCATTGCAACATACATGTAATGTAGTAGTGGCTAGTGCAAGACATGGAAATGGATGGGTTGTTATTTTAGATTTCATTGGAATAGGAATTTGCATGAGCAATGTCTGATTACTGTTGTAAGGTTGGAATAGAAACATTTAATTTGAAGATATAAAAACGCCCTTGTAATCAAAGAATTCATATGTCTACCACATTACAAGTATGTTTTTTTTGGAATAATATTAAGTGACTATAAGATAATACTCTGCAATTACTCGAACCTGACATTCGACGAGAACAATATTTATTTTTATTTTTTTATCATTAAAATTGTTTGATGAGTTCTTAGGATCCCTCCTTACTTCAAATGTATACATTTGTTTAAAAAATATTTATAATATAACATATTAAAAAACATTATAAAAACCTAAGTATGGTATTTGTTAATCTTGTAACCTGAGTAGGATAATTTTATTAGCATGAGGAAACTTAATAGAAAAGTTAGGGATTCACAAGAAAAAAAATGAATTCTTCCTAATTTCCCTCAAATGTAAATGTAATAGACACCGTTAGATTTCACAAATCGGTGCAATCGACGGTTTGGAAAACATTCGTATGTTACTAACGTGCAGAACTAGAGTACACTAACTTATCGTTTTTTAGTATAATTTTTTTTCTCCTTTCTCCCAACTTTCAACCGAAAAAGCCAAAGGGCAGCAGAAGGTGCGTTTTAATTTTTAATAACTTGTTTGATGATTCGAAGTCCAAACAGATAAGCCTTTACCCGTTCTTCGTTTTCTTCAGGAAAAAAGCTCTCTTTCTCCTGTCCTTCTATCCTTCAATATGTACTTGCAGAGAAGAAAGAGGAGGATCCCAGTGAATTCTTTTGACAAATTATTTATGAGAAGATGAAGCTCACAACACTTACAAGTATTTTCAAGTATGGAAAGAAAAACCCAGAAAAAATGGGTGTTTAATTGAATAGTTGAAAGGGAAACAAACAGTAATTTTCAATAAGAAATAAAAAAGGTTCCTCAGATCTTTTCTTTTTTTGGTTTAAACTGGGCTTTTTGTCTTTAGCATATAAATCAGTTTTCCTGCATAAATTAGTTCTAACTTAGGCTTTATCTCTCTTCCACGCCTTCCTCTTTTTCTGGGTTTTGGGGGTTTTCTTTGACGATTTTGTTGCATGCAGGAATAAGCTGTTTTTAATTGATTTTTTCAGGTTTTGAACGGTGTATGCATCGGTTCTAGCAGTTGACTGTTTTCGGTGATTTTAGAGTCTTGGGTCTGTTTCGAAACGAACTTTAAGGATTGACTTTTGAAGATCAGATTGTTTTTAGAACACTTTTAGCAGAATTCTTTTTCTCGGAGGGGATTCTGATGGGGAGCCCCGATGAGCCCAACGTGCAGGGCATTGATGCGTCGGTGGGCGGGTTGGTTTGGGTCCGACGCAGAAACGGTTCCTGGTGGCCGGGTCAGATTATGGGCCTTGACGAGCTCTCTGAGGGCTGTCTAGTATCCCCGAGATCCGGTACTCCTGTTAAGCTTCTTGGTCGTGAAGATGCAAGCGTGTGAGTTTATTTTCTTTTCCATTTTTTACTCACTTTTTGGATTTCTTTAGGCGGGTTTAATAGCTTGCATTTTTTTGTTAATGATTAATTACAATAGTTTTTTTTTAATCAAGTTAATTTGTTTAGCAGTTTTGATAGTTTTGGAACATTTTAATTTTAATTTTTATGTTACCAATCAATTATCAGATGCTTGGAAAGGGGAAAATTTTGCAGATATATGTTGTTCATATAATAGTTGTTATGGTAACATAGGTTGGAAAGCTCTGCATTTGCATTACATTGAAAGGCCTGCTTGTTTGCAGTGATGCATTGTGCTTGTTGTTATGCTTTTAGTGAACACATACAGGTTGTCTTTTGAATGCAATCTTGTGTACAAATAATCAAGAAATTTGGTGACCGGTGATATTCATTTAAACTGGTCGGAGAATGTGAATTGATTCTCTTGGAATCCTTTTAATGCTGTACCTTTTTTCCCTGTTGCCATATCTTTAAACTGTTATGACTTGTAGGCATTGGTTTAATTGGGTTCGAAATATAATTGTCTAAATCAGTTCAGTGGGTTAGTCTTTGTTCTCTCACATATGACTGGAGCTTGTAACGTTCTCTTCTCGACATTGTCTATTTGTCACCACACCTTTCAACTTTGGGACTATGCTTCAATTCTATAGAAAAAATACTGAAATTATCTTAAGATGTGTGAAGATGGCCACTATTTTCGTTTCTTGGTTGGTGATTTAGATTCAAGGTTTTAACTTTTTATCTATCTTTAGCCTTGTTCATTGCTGATTGATTTATGAGTAAAGTTCTGTTAGAGTTGCATTCTCTTCTTTTACTTTCTAGAATGATTAATAATTGAATCCCCTTTCGTCCTAATTAGAAAGAAAGAAAAAAAAACTATAATTGGTGGTCTCGATTGAAATATTGAAAGGGAGGAAACCTTTGAGTCAATGATCTCTCATCGCCGTTGGATGGAAGACTTGCTGTGCTTGGCATGACTTCTTATTGCTTATCTTTGTTGACTAAATTTCATTTCTTTTTGGCTTCAGGGACTGGTATAATCTTGAAAAGTCTAAGCGAGTAAAGGCCTTTCGCTGTGGAGAATATAATGCATGTATTGAGAAAGCAAAGGCTTCAGCAGCAAATTCTAGCAAGAAGGCAGTGAAATATGCACGAAGAGAAGATGCTATTCTCCATGCTCTTGAGATTGAGAGTGCACGTTTAGGCAAGGATCATCCAGACTCTAGAAAAGATAATTCTGGTGGTGATAAGGGTTGTTCGGTCAAACAGTCACCTAACATGTCGCATTCTGGGAAAGATAATGAGGAAGGAATGAGTGGGTCTGAGGATGACTCGAATTCAGCTCCTGAATTATCACAGTCTGGCATATCCTTTGAAGAGTCAAATCTTATTAATGGTACTAAGGGGCACTCTATGATGAGAAAGAGAAGAAAAACCCCAAATGATTCAGAGGATGACGGAGCAGAAGGAATCAAACGAATGAAAGGACTTGAGGATTTAGGCATGGGTGTAGGATTAAAAAGAAAAGTCCAGGCCGAAGGGTTACTGGAGTCTGTTCAACAAGAGAATGCTTCATTCTGTGGACCAAACACTAACAACTGCCTGTCTAATGTGGGTCCCATTAACCATTCATCATCGCTGAAAAGGAAGAGATCTCAAGTGGCAAATTTTAATGAAATCCTGAAAAGGAAAAATCGCCGGAGACCACTGACCAAGGTTTTGGAGAGTACAGCTATGGTGCCCGTTCCAGTTGCTTGTGATGAACTTCCAAGCTCAAGTACTTCACCCCCTGACAGTAAGGTTTCAGGAATGGATTCTAATGAATCACGGAAAAGTATTTCTGCAGTAATCAATAACAACAATAATAACAACTCAGATAGTACTGGAATTTCTTGTGAGAATGGTGTCTCGTTAAATGTTTCAGAACTTGCTGCTGATGCTTCTCAAACTAATAATAAGACAAAAGACGGTGAAATTTCGAGCATACCAGAGTTGGCTGGGAATGAATCTTCTGACAGACTATTTGATGTGCCATTTCTTGGAGATGATAAACCATCTGCGGGTATTATTGATTATACATTTATAAACTATAGTATTTCTTATTATTAATGCATTTTCTGCCTAACATGTCCTGCTGCTTTTACAAATTGTTGTTGTATTGATTTTGCTTTTATTTGGTGTATTTGCTTTTGGCTGGGCGGATTATGGATGAGTTAGATTACTTGTTATTTCATGAATTTTTATTGTTCACTCTGTTCCTAATGTGTCTGCATAATGTTGGTTTTATGTGGAGAATATTCCTGCCTGCATTTAGCTTTTGTTGTCACAAGTGCTGTATTGCTGTGATCATTGTTGGTCCTTGATAAGATTTTTATATATATCTTTTGAAAACTACATAAAGCATGTCATATTTGTAGTAGTGTGCCATGAAAACAAATTACTCTTCGTATGGGTTGGTGATGTAAGGACATGTGCTGAATTCTCTAACCCCACAAATTTTGAGTCAGAGCGTGCGAGTGGACTGGAAGTTAAACATGTTGATGCTTATGTTATCACACAATAAAGAGCTGAACTGAAAAGTGCATATTACTAGGGGCATAATTTGTACGATTCACATGAAATATGCTGCTAGAAGTTCCTGATGAATCGTAATTTGCCTGGAGACTTGAGTTTAATTACAATGAAGGCACGAGATTCCCTTTGTTTAAGGATCCCCCCCCCCCCTTTTATACACTTGTTCTACCAGCATTTGATTTTGGTACAACTGATTCATTAGAAACAAGGCTAGCTTAGAATACCTGATCTGCTTCCTTCTTGCATTGTTTTCTTTTGCTTCCTTTTATCACGTGAAGATGTTTAAGTGCATGGTTTAATTGTTCTTTTTGTGTAAGAAGGTATTCCTTATGTGATTGTTCCATTTACCGATTTTTGTTGCAAAAACCTCCAGTTTGAACGACTCAATGTATATGCAGTCTCTCCTCGAACCTGATTCCGTTATCTTTACTCTATTGTATTGCTGCAATAGGATATACTTTTTCCTCTATGGAGTGTTGGAGACTGATAGATCATTTTGGTTCTGACAGATTTTTCTTCAATATTTGTATCTTGTTCATCTGAGACGCCTGAAGTTGGTGATGTGGGAAGACAAGCTGAAGTTGAGGGGCATAATGAGTCCGGTTATACCAGATCAGTGGATGTTCGGACTAGTATTTGCCAGAAGATAGAGAAAGGTGCAGCAGAGTGGCAGCTGAAGGGAAAGAGGAAATCGAGGCAAATAAGTGAAAAACAGAAACAGGACCCTAGAAAATATGCTGACATGGTTGATGAACCAAATGCTTATGTGGCAGGTATGGATCACTTGGATGGATTTTCTCAGGGCTCTGATCAGAAAGTTGACTGCAAAGCTGTTGAGGATCAGCTTGATGGATTCAGGGACTGGAAGTCTCGGCAGCCTCGTGTGAGAGGGTCAATAATGGTGGCAAAAATACTCCCTGATGGTTATGTGAACCCTCAAAGGTCGCTTCCATACCGTCAGTCACGCTATACTGTAAACCCCAGGTATCAGATGGCAGATTTCCCTGGAAAAACATATTCTGCCGAATCATCATTATATGAGATTAAGATTGATGTGAAAGCGGACTATCAACCACAACATGTTCCATTAGTTTCCCTCATGAGTAAACTGAATGGTAAAGCCGTAAGAGGTCACCCTCTTCTAGTTGAAGCTTTGAACGATGATTACTATGACAATCCGAGTCAAGAAGCTGCTATGGCGTGCACTAAACCTGAACATTCATTGAAGCAAAATTCAGGTGGACGAGTTCCTAGAAAGCATATAAAATTGCAATCGCATCTCCCACCTCGTAAATCAAAAAAAGCAAAGAAATCTGGTCTATTGTCTAAGAAGATTCGAAGATTGTCTTCATTAAACGGTCAGAAGCTAGGTGTGGCCGGCAGGAAACGGGTAGAGGAGAATCCCAAAGGTGCTGTGATAGCTTGCATCCCTCTAAAGTTAGTCTTCAGCAGGATAAATGAAGCATTGAATGGCTCAGCACGGCCATCGCACTGATCGTTAACATCAAGAAACTCGTGAGCAAGCGATCTAAGCCACAGTGAAAATTCAACTAGAAAACCTGGCAGCCGGTAGGTGGCCTTTTATATCTTAGAACCCACAGAACAAAAGACATTGGGTTGTTGTAGAAGGAAACTGTTAAAAGACTGAAGGATGATGAAGAACAAGTCTTCCCCGGCTTTGTATATATGAAAATGTAACATTAGTTGAATTGTAAAGGGGGCAATTAGGTAATATCCATGACTCGGTGTTTTTCTTTTTTAATGAATTCAGGTTGATTTAGGGTTAAATACCTAAATTTTGGCAATTGTACATTTTCCTCTTTGGCTTTGGGACATAGATTTGGTAATTTATTCCAATTCTCAAAAGCCTATTTCTTTTCAGTTTTTTTGTGGAAATTTAGATGTTTTCTTTTTCTTTCTTATTCCATTTTTCTTTCTCTATTCTATTCTAAGTTTGTGCAATTTATTTCATCTATATCTCATTAAAATTAAATCAAGGAATATTTGATGATAAATGATAGATTTTGGTGTTTATTTTCTAAAAAAATATAGGAAAAAGTGTATTAAACTCTCAAAAGTTATAAAATTTATCAAAACTTTACCTTTATTACAATGTTGTAGTAATTATTTTATAATAGTTTGATAAATTTAATCATCATTTTATAATTTCTCAAAGTGCAGTGTTTGAATTAATTAATTGTGTATAGTCAACGACTTCTGGTATACTTTATCCAATGTTATAAATCCAAGTTTCCAAAAATAATTGGGCCGTAAAACGTGATCCACACGACCAGAAAGGCCCAAAACTCAACTTTCAACCTTAGGAACCCTAAAAAGGATTCCATAAATTTGGTAGGTTCGTTACATTCTAACTGCGGCTCCAGTCTTCCTATCAGAAACCCTAAAAACCAACAGGTCCGTTTTCTGTTCTTATCTTACTTTCGTCGTTTATTTTGTTTGATTTGTTTTAGAATGTTTAAATCTTACAAACGGCGGTACATTCTGTGGTGTATCTGGTACAGAGAGGTGCAGAGAAAATGGCGACAGTTCCAGGACAGTTGATCTGGGAGGTGGTGAAGAAGAACAACTGTTTCTTAGTGAAACAGTTCGGAAGAGGAACTGCTGGTGTTCGGTTCAGCAAAGAGCCCAACAATCTCTACAATCTCAACTCCTACAAACACTCTGGTACCGTTTTGATCTCAAGTTTCTCTCGTTTTTCGTTCTTGAGGTCGATTCGACGATGTTGATCTTAGATTGTTGCTAAAGACATGATAGTGTTGAGTAGAAGTGCAATGAAAAGTATGTTACATTCAGATGCAAATGGTTTTCATATAAATTTATCACTCAAGTGAAATGAAAATTATGTTACATTCATATGCAAATGATTTGCATATAAATTTATCACTTGTACAAGTTATGATGTCGTATTTGTATCATATATATATTGTTTAATCCCCGTGCTTACTGGATCCTGAACATTGAAAATTATGTTATATTCATATGAAATTATTTGTATATAAATTATGATATTGTTTGGGTTTTAAATTACTTGTTCATTGCTGGATCTGTGCAATTGTAGGATTGGCAAACAAGAAAACTGTCACCATTCAGCATGGTGGCAAAGATCAGTCGGTGCTGCTAGCGACAACCAAGACTAAGAAGCAGAACAAACCATCGACCTTGCTCCACAAATCTGTCATGAAAAAGGAGTTCCCAAGGATGGTGAAGGCAGTTAAAAACCAGGTAATAGGAAGATCCTTTTTGAAGTTTTATATTGCAGTGATGAAGCTATAACATATAAGGAGGAACCATTTGTTGGATTCTTCTATGAAATGTTCTTGTTACGCTTGGCTTCTGAGCTTCCTAAGTGCAAACTGTGCTTGTTCGATGAAAAGAATTTTATAACATCTTTGAAAATAATGTGTATCCATTCAAATCGAACTTATGTTCTTGCAGCTTATCTTATCTAGTCTTTCTGATAATTAAGTTGCATTTCACCTGGCATTTTTTACGACATTTCCTCCTTAATGCTCTATGCTACAAATCATTGCAGGTGACAGACAACTACTACAGACCGGATTTAACCAAAGCAGCCCTTGCAAGACTGAGTGCTGTGCATAGGAATCTGAAAGTAGCCAAGTCTGGTGTCAAGAAGAGGAACAGGCAAGCATTGAAGATCCATGGCAGGAAGTAAGCTCATATGATGCCGCGATTTTGTTGTTTCCGACATCTCCTTTTAGAACCGAATTTTGAAGTTACCTTATTTTCAATCTTGGTTGTGGCTGGTGTGGTGGATTTCGTTTCTCATCTTAGATTATGAAACAGAGATTGCTGCCTCCTTGATAGTTTGTTTTTGGAATGATATGGCATGGTAAAATTTTGATCATTTTCCTCTGGTAGAATTTTAGATGAACTCCATTTGATAATGATTTCCCCGCTAAAAGAATCACTCGAAACCAAAGAAATATAATTTCGAGAATAAAATATTATTCATGTAATGATCTTTTTCATAAATAAACCCCCACTAAAAATGTGTGATTGCAATTGTTTGTGATTTTCAGAGAGAAATAATAACAGTTACCAAGTGTTTTCCTTCTGGGAATTTATTTTTTAATTTCTTTTCTGCTTTAAACAATCTTTGATATCCGTTTGTTGGATGATTAACTTGTTAATGAATCAATTTATATATCGGTTTTAGGTTCTTGTACGCTATCCATTGCAAAAAAAAAAAAAAAAAAGGTTCTTAAACACTACCAACAGCAACTTGGGAACCAAGTTCATCATTATCTTCAAAACACGACCAAGCTCATTCTCGTTTGCATCTTTAATCAAAATCCAATTTCATTAAGAATTAGCATTTATTTTCTTGTTTTTTTTTCAAGGTAAACTACCATGTCCAACCAAAATATCAACTCGTGCAAATTGGCATTAATTATTCAACCATTTCTTTCATTAAGTGGTCTCGAGAGAATATTGTTTCCTGTGGTGAAAAAGAGAAGAACTGAATAAGAAAAGGCTGGCTGCTAAAAACAACTAACATAGAGAAAACAAATAACAGCATTGCTCATTTTATACATATAGTTGAGTAAAGCACATGAAATTCGATAGGGTTTTCCTCTCATCGAGGAAATTGCATTTGAATTTTGATTTGACTGCCACGAAAAAGGGAAGCATTGTAAAATAAAGTTCAACGTAAAGGTAAAAATAATAATTTTTATCAAGTTAAGGTGATTACAAAGTAGTTTATATTCTAAATATTCTAAAATCATTTGACAATGAATACTCAATCACCCTGCTACAATTGCTGGTGCTCGAACCCATGACTTTAGGAGCAATAGAAATTTTTTTAATCACTAAGATAAGTTGATTCGTGCAAAACAAAAAATATCATTAGATGAAAACAGAAATGAAATGTGATGTTAGATATAATTTTGAAAAATATCATTAGATGATCAAAACAGAAACATAGAAATATGTGTGTGACTAATTAGGTAGTTTTCCCTATTTGTTTTTTGGGTAATTTCAATTTTGAAGGCCCAAAAGGAGTACGTAAAGTTGGGTCCACCCTTAGGCTGCACTTCCACTTTCGTCTCATTTTCCTTGAAAAAAAATCGAAGCTAAGAATAAAAAAACAGTAAAAAAGACGATCAAAATACAAAAATCCCCAGAAGCCCGACTATAATTCCTTTAAATCCCTCTCAAAATCAAAGTTTCTCTGCAAACATTCTGAAAAATCCAGCCATGGGAAATACCGAGAAGCTGTTGAACCAGATCATGGACCTGAAATTCACCTCCAAATCGCTGCAACGCCAGGCCAAGAAGTGTGAGAAGGAAGAGAAATCCGAGAAATTGAAGGTGAAGAAGGCGATCGAGAAAGGTAACATGGACGGTGCTCGGATCTACGCCGAGAACGCCATCCGTAAGCGTACCGAGCAAATGAACTACCTGCGTCTCGCCTCCCGACTCGATGCTGTGGTCGCCAGGCTCGATACACAGGCTAAGATGACCACAATTAACAATCCATGGGTAATATCGTCAAGTCTCTTGAATCTTCCTTGGCCACCGGTAATTTCTTCCTAAAAAGTTACCCTTTTTAATTCTTGATTTTTGTAGGGGGGATTTTAGGGATTATCGTGGAAATATTCATATTAGCCTTTCTTTCAATTGTTTTTTTAATTCTACACCTTGAATTAATTTTGATGTGAATTTTTGTACGGTGCAGGCAATTTGCAGAAAATGTCGGAGACAATGGATAAATTCGAGAAGCAATTTGTAAATATGGAGGTCCAGGCAGAGTTTATGGAGAGTGCTATGGCTGGCTCTACTTCATTGTCCACACCAGAAGGTGAAGTCAACAGCTTGATGCAGCAAGTGGCTGATGATTACGGGTTGGAGGTCTCTGTTGGGTTGCCACAGCCCGCCGCTCATGCCGTGCCGACCAAGACGCAGGAGAAGGTTGACGAGGACGATTTGTCAAGGCGACTTGCTGAGCTTAAGGCTAGAGGTTAAAAAATGGTGGAATCCATTTGAATGAACTTGTGATAAATAGTAAGACTGATATTTAAGATTATGATTTATGCTTATTAAAGATCTTGTTGTATTTGAATATAGTATTGAATTGTGTTCCTCTTTCGATTGTTGCATGTTGTGCTTGTTTCGTATAAATGATCTGGTGCCTTTAGTGTGTTTATGGGATGATTTGATCTCTGTGAATGCATTAGTATGATCAAAGAAGGTATTTATTCTTGTGATTGTGAGGGTTGAGAAGTGGTTCAATCATTTATTATTGATTAAGTGTGTGGATTAGGTTTATTGATAAAAAGACAAGTGTATGGATTAGGTAAATGCTTAATGCTGTTTAACATAATCATTTTGGATCATCATCTTGTAAGTATGATTGAACAAATCAAATAGATTAAGGTTAGTATAACATTGCTTGTTGCAGTTAGAAAGTGCTTTTGAGATGCTATTAACAAAATAGCATGGGTTGGTTTCAAAAGCACAAGTGCTTGCTGCTGTAATCTTCATGCTGAACGTGTGCATTTGCACCGGTATGCATTTAAGGGAAGGAGCGTTTTGAAAATCCTACTACGCTAGTAGGGTGCATTTGAGACGCAACAGGTATGCCTTTGAAATCCTTTCTGCACCTTCTGAAAGAGTTTAGGAGACTGAACAGGAGACAGAAGGAACCCGATCGAATAGAGATACCATCCACTTCTCTTGTTGAACCCCGCAATCCATCCTCCCACCATGGAGAAAGAGAAGGGCGTTCCTTCTTCAACTTCCCTCGTACCGAACGTTATTTGGTTACTCTTAAAAATTACCACCATGAACCACTGGACAGTAGTGATTATAATGATTAAACACATCAAAACGAAAAATGTTCCTAGGTTAACCTCAGCTGTCTTGCTTCTCCCTACACCGTCTTAATTGGATTACCGTTCTTATCGTAAATCACTTCTATCAAGCGATGCAACGATCATAAATAACTATGATTTCTCTTACCCCATGACCCTATTTCTCTATCACATATATCTATTCAAAAATATTAAAGAAATACTACGATTAAAAGGATTCAAGAAAAAAAATCATATATTACTCGAAATTGGGCACGAAGTGTCGGACATAAAGTAGTATTGGATATGGGACTTTCATGTATTTAGAAGATCTTTAAAAGATCATATCCAATCCATGTATATTTCAAACATGAAGGCAATTTTAGGGGCTCTCTTAAAAGGATACTCCTTGATCCGAGGAACAAACGAAGCTCTCCATAGTAATTCCGTGTCATTCATATCATGCATCGTGTTTGGAGGAGGCCTGATGAAATTTTCCAAGGTATTAGCATCATCTTCAAACCGAGGCTGAACAGTGGATGGTGCTTTAGCAATCTGGGGGATCATGGAAAATCTTACTGAATACGTACTGATGATCGATAACCCGACGTCCAGGACCAAAAACAACGAACAAAACACAAGGTTCCTCAAAGGCAAAGCCCTGGAGAGGTTCGTTTTGTTTGCAGAAACTGGTTCTTTACCTTCCTCCAGAGCCACAACCCTAGGCTGTTTCATAACTTAACCCCTCAAATTACAACTAACCGTCTGGGTTTTGTATTTCCTCTAAAACCAAACCAAGAAGCACCCTTCTTCTGGATCAAAAACTGCACCAGAAGATAACAAAGACAACTTTGAAACACTGTTTTATATAGAAAGGAGATATAAATAAGCACATCAAAACACTTTTTGACAAGTAAGTGTGACTGGAAATTCGGTATAGATAAATGAGTCTAAGTTCCTGTGATTAGGAGAAAATAAACGCAACGTGCTGAAGATATTTAGAGATGAAGAAAGAAGGGAACAATGTTGTTAACAATACGACGGTGATGCGTTCTTTTTTGGTACAAGGTTTAATGTTAAAGGATAAAGAAACTCTTTGAATAAACATAAGATGGATTTGTAATTCCGGTTTATAATAAAAGGGTAAACTATCTATTTACCTACTAATCTAAAAGATATATTCTATTCGAATCACTAAATAAACAATTTTATTAATTAGATCACTAATATTTCACTTTGGAGCCGGCACGGATCGTTAACTCAATTTTGACCGCTAACAAAAATAATTTTAATTGGAATAATAATAATTCTAACTCTCTATACTAACACATTCAATTAATTTAAAAAATTCTAATTTTATAAAAAAATAATTTAATTTGATCTCAAAATCAAACCATTTGAAACCCAAAACAATTCCTTATCCTCGATTCTTCGCCACCACCACCAATCCATTCCTCCTCCACCGGTTTACATGTCGACCCTAATCTAATGTTCTCGGGCACCTTAGGTTTGCGTATGAGCCAGTGA